CAATATTTCGAATATTCGAAAAAATTCGTATTCGAAATTATTCAGATTGTTTGTTTAAATAAACTTCTTTTCCATATTTCTATCTAACACGAAGTATTTTAATTACAATAATTGCACCAAATATTCCTACTGCTGTTAATTGTATGATGCAGCTTAAAGTACAATTTATTTATTTTAAAAAGGTGAATCTATTTATTATTGGGTTATAATAACGGCTTATTACTTATACTGTAATAATTTCCAAAGTAAATTCTGATGCATCTTAAGAAAAAGAAAAACAAAAGATTCTCACGAATTATAATTAATATTTATAGATAGTCCTCGAACCTAACCTAAAAGAGAGCAGTATTGTGAAATTGATATAAACGTAAATTTTCTGCACCGAAGAATATTAATTTCCCAATATAAAAAGCATTATTTATCTAATAACCTATCATCGCGAATAACAAATACATTTCTGCACTAATTAACATGAAATACAATAGTATTGTTAAACCATAAAATAATCAAACATTGCCGTAACACTGCAAAATATTAATAGGTATTACACACATGATAACTGCTGTTACGTTCCAGTTTCCCGGGCATCCCAGCTGAGTGTCATCGATCCGAGGACCTTTACTATCGTGCATGCAATTATCTCCGTGGTTTTATTGTTCTATTTCATTCTGAATCGTTTTATCCCCCAATTACAAAGTATACGTTATATCGAAATGTAATTTCGCACAACTTTGAATATTGCGAATTATTACTTGTTCAACGAGATTCGATAGTGCTTCACGTTGCAAACTATGTAATGGAGAAACAGTTTCAAAACACAGTTGTTTTTTAAATCTACATTTCGAAAGGTCAAATGTTTCGATATAAATCATTCGAATTTAACTTTCTATAATGACAGAGAGAATAAAGATGGTGAGGACATTTTTATTGCAGTTTTTATGGTTAGGTTAGCTTTTAAGTTTCCTTATTGAAAAAATTTTATGATACACCTCTTTAATTAGACAAAATACAGAAAATGGATTAATTAAATGTTATTGCATTAAACGATATTTATTTTAAAAGTGCAAAAATTTGTATACCATTCCAGTTAAAAAAAATGAAACTCCCCCTAAATAAACGTTGAAAATATGAAGAAGATGCCACATTTGTCATTTAGAAAAGCTTAATAAATCATAAAAATTGCAAAAAGAATTTCCACGCTATCTTTAGTAACTTCAGAGTAAGCACCTTGCAACAATTGTTTTGGTACACCCTATATATTCTCTGCACTCTTACATGCGTTGATCAAACCAATCATTACACAGGCTACTCTCCTACAGAGTAAATAAATATTTAACTGTTGATTTGAGTGATAATCCAAAGCAGAAAATATAATGTAAATATACCTTCGAAACTTAATGATTAAGAAGTTGTTATTAATGAAATTTACTAATTTTCGTCGATCTTGACATATTCTGGCCAGCCATGTGTAAACGAATTTTTTCCGTAATTATGGAATATTGAACGAACTACTTTGAGATTGATTAAACAATAACTACGTTTATTATTTTTGTACACTTTAAAAAGAAGCAGAATGTAAAATCTATTTTATTTAAAAATAGAAGAATTAAAATTAAATTGCATACAAATCTATCCTGCGAGAAACTCGAGCGTATCGATTTCCTTTTAAACAGGTCAAATATTTCCATCTTAGGTATTTTTGTATTTTTAACGATACAAAACGTCAAAGGCAAATGAATTTCTTATACTGATCTCTCTATTCGCCACTAACTCGATTATATCTGATAAAAGACACAATTTGATTTCAACTGATCTCGTTAATTTACCATTCGTTTTGGTAAACGTCGTCTTTATTTTCAATTTTTCACGTTCATGCTGATCTTCAATTATTTGCGAACCACCACTCCCAACAAAATTATTTCCTCTATTATTATACACCTCTCGAAACCGCGAAACTTAATCTTCAAGTTTCTCATACTGTCTAAAATAGCAATTGGACAAAGTTAGGATTCTTTGAAATATAAAAAGATGTTGCAAATAAAAATTGTAGCATAATTTCTATGAAGATGCATTGGACATTTGGGTCCACTTTATTTAGAAGATTTCCTTTTTATTCGCAAAAATTAAACATTTTTAAATTCCCACTTTTTGTTAGTCCAAACGATGTCTCATCATTCGCTGGCTTCGAACATCTCTCTCCCTCTCACTCACTCCCGTTTAGTATGTTTATTTTTTCGACGTGGCTGAGCTCGCTGACTTCCAGAAATCAAAACTCGACCACATATTTGATAATATGTACCTACTTTCTGGGTTGAGAAGACACAATACAAGAAGCATCGAATATGACTGTCATTTAAATTTTATAGTTCATTTATTAACTTTGCAAACTTTTAATTTTCAACTACGTATTCTAATTTTTGCACTATTTACAAATTGATACAGAGATGCACATTTTGACTGTTTGCTGATAAGTAAGGAATTTCTTACTTTCATCAATTTTATTTTATTTCTACTAAAAGAATATTAATCTCGATACGAGAATATTATACTTTATATGTTTATATAGTGTATGGCGTAAATGGAAGTCATTAGCGAGCCTAAATCTTCTACATATGTATGCATATTACCGACAGAGAAATCTAGAACGAATGGAATTGTTATACTTGCAATGTTATTTTCGTCGATTTCAATAATGAAACATCGAACAATGCGATACCCTTAAAATAACGTAAACTTCTATAATTTGATCGTTTTTAAGGTTATACTAAAATTAGGAATGTGATACGTTTTGTTATAATGTCAAAGATCAAAAGTCCGAACCATCTATATTTCGTATTTTCATCTGCAGTTAATACATGTAAATTTATGTAAAAATCAATTAATATCTTTGGCACATTATTTAAATAAATAAACTTTTTCGAAAACCTCTCGTAGAACGGAATTCTTTGTTTAAAAACATGAAATTTTTATAGTTAAACCATTTTTCTAAATCGAATGTACAAATTTTAAAAACAGATATTACACTTTACATGTCATAATTTACAATAAAACTTGTCAAATTTCTTGACTATATTCGTTACGCTAATTTTATATTCTCACAATATACCTAAACAACTGAAGAAGCCAACGTTCAAATGCTATGAATGACACCAGGTTCAGTATAACTGCAAGAAATCACAAAATTCATTTTCTTAGAGCAATTTTTAAATTTACTAATATCCAATGAAGTTTAAAAACGCTTATTTACTTTCGACACTAATTTTAACGGTTCATTCTTTTTTTCTTTCATGTTTAAACAAATGTACTCGAATAATATCTTTTAAATATTAATAACATATGACAACGTTATTAATGCACTGTAAAATTCACATTGCTAAAAAATGACCCGTGTTTTAATTATGAATAAAACTATTGAGACCATACGACGAAAGCAATTGCTTTTTAGGTCACGTTTATTATACGTATCTGAAGGTTAACTACGTTTTCCTAAATAGTCTGTAATGTTTTCACCATGTAAAGCGCCAGTCAGTATTTCAGATGAGTTCAAGAGCCTATCACGTAAGATTATTCAAGGTTACAAATACGCGAGAAAATGATTTCAAAATCATATGCTATATTATCCCAATCGATACCATATATATAATTTTTACCTTAAATATTTCAAAGGAATAAATCGGCTTTACTTTCATTAACAACATTACCTTTATTCCTTTACATAGATAGGTTATGTAATAATTCCGGTATTTCATAATTAAAATTTGAACAATACATTTATTCAGAAAACGACGAAATATGGAATGTTATACTATTAAAAAGAAATAAAACATTTATTGTTATACATTTTACACAGTCACTGAAACTTAAACTTATAGTAAATAGAAAGTACGACTTTCAAAGTCGTACAGAAAGTAACGAATTTACTAAGATATTCAAATGTTTTTAGAACGACAGTAGGATTAAGGTTAGGTTTTCGAGAAAGATTATTTGTACTTCGCTGAGTAACTTTTTCCTCAAGTATATTTAACGCGGAATTATAATAAAGTCTATAGACTTATACAACTGGTTTCTCGTAACAGGAAAAAGGATTTTAGAATATATAAACTAATAGTATTCTAATTGTTTAGTATCGTAATATTGCAAGCAGCATAACTATTTCATTAATGGCAATCAACTGTTTTCTTTGCTTGCAATATCTGACAAAACACCATAAAAATTGTTTGGAATTAATCGTTACGTAATGTTTTTACAAATTTAAAAAGTAACGTTAGATTTTTTACGAACGCTCATCTTTACGAGTTCGTATTGTGTCATTAATATGTATTTTTAATTCTAATATTGTTTAGTGCAAATACTAAAAAACTTGTATATTTTTAAACAGTCGATTCATTGTCAAGCATACTAAACAAACACTTAAATAACCCCATTGAACTTTTCATTAACCGTAATATATTTTTTTCTTTCGCCTCCTACACAATTTCTATTTTCGTCATTCATGAGAACACCTACCTCAAGTGCTATAAAAATATCATTACATCTAATAACACTTTATGTACTAGCATTTCCTGTTTATTTACAAACCACCTATAGACGCACATGTTGAAGAATCATATAATGATTATGCCATATATTAACAGAAATTTTAAACTTGACTTTGAAAATTTGTGTTCAAGACACACGGGCTAATGTTTTCAATAAAATTTACACCGATATCTGGTGTGTAGTTTATTATTTACTTGTCAAACTTCGACTAACATATGTACATAAGTACGTAAATTTGGTAAATTGGCGGGAGTAAATTTTAATTCCCGAATTTTTAAATATATTTATCGAGAGAAAAAGAATTGTCCTGGTAATATTTTGAACTCTCTTCTATTTCCCTTCTCCCGTGTTCCTTTCACACGAAAAAACAGATACATTTCTTATTTGGATAACGGTATTTAACGATTTTGCACGAGAAAGCAGCGAGACATTGAACAGAAAAAGAGAAAACTGTCACTCACCGATATTGACGATTCTTATTCCCTCGTCGTCCAAAAATTTCAACGCCACCGACACATTTTCCAATTTCTGAGATCTGAAGATGGGCCTCTGATTGTGCTTAGGAAGTTTTTTCTGTGCGAGCACCTCGATCAAACTGATCAGTCGAAGACCATCGGACAAATCGCATTCCAAATCACCGATATGTTTGTTCATTGCCTTGAGCCTCTCGTTCGCCCACCTCGTGAACGTGTTCTGTTGTATTCGTTTCCACTGTGCATCCTCGAGCAAATCTTGTTCGAACATGTCGTCGTCCTCTTCCTCCGCGTTCTCGCACTTGACTGACTTATCGTTCTCGCACATTTTATCTGCCGGCTCGCTCCTACGGGACAACGTTTGTATTGGTGAGCACGATGGTGGTAGAGTTTACCTTGTATATGTGTTCACACATTCTACTCGGCCATCTCTCCCCTCTCCTTTTGAACGCTGCCTTTACTACACTGCACCCTGATCGTGAGCCTGGCACGCTTTCTCTCTTTCTACTTTATCCGCTGTTGTACACGTATACCCTATATTATATTTCATTAGTTGGTATATGATGCATGTATCAGCAAAAAATATTCTACCTGGTAACGATAAAAAGCATCGTATAAAGTCATCACTCATATTTGTGCTTAATTGACTGAAAAATACGTTTTACATATTGAATAGTAGAAAGTGATAATACCGCTTCAAAATTCTTCCCATTTTTCGTGGTAACTTTTGATTAACTTTTCATTGCTAAATCAGAATCGGGTAAAGCGATAAATCAGTGAAAATTAATTGGACATGTCATTACAAAATAAATTTAATACACTTAATATCTAATTTTATTATTTGATATTGCTACAGTGCAATAATGATACACAGTTACTGAAGTAGTTAGAGTAAAAAAACTCTGAAACTTTTGCTTACAAATCACGTGTACATATGTAATATCATATTAGATAAAATAGAAATGAAATAATAACTTAAACTGTACGCATTTTCTGTAAGTTGTGAAACTGAACAGTGAAAAGTAAAATATCAATTTAATTTAGTTCGAAATGCATATGTAAAAACTTAATCAAGATTAGTAAAGGTAATAATGTATAATAACTGTACCTAACATAATCTACAAAATATCTCTGATTTGCGTCAATAATAGATAATATCCAACATAGTAAGTACGATAACATCAATTCTTTTCATATTATCTTCTCTTTCCTTTTCTAACAAAATTCCAGTTTTCACCACAAATCTTACGTTTCTTCTCAACCAATTAACAAACAAAATTCAAGTCAGTAATTTAATCATTGTACAGAAAAAAATCAAGACATATTTTTTTATTTATGTAATTCGTTCAATTAATAATGCTCGGTTGCTGCAATCAAATACATTTGAAACGAAGTTGACGAAAATATAAAGCTACACAGAAATATATTTATGTGTGTGCGCGCGCGCGAAAGGTAATTCATGGCTTATCGATCACCGCGCGTTGTTTTATAAAATCTTATGTGTAGAATGAGACATTCGAGGAAACAGACGAAAATTGTCAGGCGTATGAATTATAAATACGTGAGCTGCGTTGATTATAAATTTCAGCCAAATTGTAACGTAAGAGTGAAAAATTGCATTAGAATATTTCTTTGCAAAAAAATCACAATCGTGAATTTTTGACATTGTGATCTCTCTTTGTGCATATTTTGTTCGAACTTTGACTTGAAAAATATTCTTTTGAGCCTAATAAAGGTTTCACTTATATTTAAAAAATAACATATTTACATTAATATTAATTCATATTTCATTATTGATATGCAATATCGCTTAAATGTTTTTTCTAAAAAAAAAAACATTTCTTGTTCGTACATCGAATGTGTTTTTACAAGGATGAAACAATATAAATGTTTCCCTTTTCATTCATGAATGAGTCATTACGAGAAGTGTTTTACCGCCTGTTTAGGTGTCCGCTTACTGCAGTTTCTAGCTCTCAAGATATATCGATGGGAATAGCGGCGTGTAAGTTTCGAAATTTGGCAAGTGACAATCTTCTGAAATTCTATTACACAGGATACTGTAACAAAACATATTGACAGCCATACTGTCGCTGTTAAAAGAAATTTAATAACAAGCAAAAATTCAAAAATAAATCTGTTAGAAATTAATTTTATGATAAATCAAAACACCGAATATTCTGTGTCACGTAATTGCAAAAATTAGTAAATAATTTCTAATGAATTAGTATGAATTTTTATATATATAATTTAACTGTAATTTAACGAGTACCAATGAATTCGAAATCTGTGAAAATTTATTTTCTTCTAATAGCGATAAATTATAATTGTTAAAAAAAAACTATGTGCAATTTGACAGAAATTGAAGAACATAGTAATCCAGAAAAGGTATTCAGCCAGACATTAAATTTATTATTATTTATTATCAAAGATATAAAAATTTATACGTGAAACCCGCAACATTCAAATACTTAAAATTCATTGCTACTTGAGCCAAATCTTTGTCATTAAATACTTTTATAAATATTTCTTGTTTGTAAAAATGCTTGGACACGTGTCCTTGCAGTTCTGTTCTAGATTCACTCCAGAAAGGTAAACCGAGATCGATGACTCACAATCAGAACTGCTCAGCTTCTAATCAAGTCAAATCCCTATTACACAATAAATCTCTGGTAGCTTGATAAGAAGATCATATTTTAGACGTAACAATACTTCGTAAGAATACTTAAATTTTCTTCCATTCTTATCAAGTGTATTGAAAAACTGTTCAGGGGAAAAGATTCGAATTAAACGTAATTGGAAATAAATGAAAAACTAAAAATTTCCAAAGTGCTAATTAATAGATGACATGTCATTAAAAACTTACACGTATAACTTAGTAAACATCCGGCTATATTTGATAAATGAAACGGGAAATTAAAATTTCCGTACTAAATTACGAAGTGTCTCTTGCAGTGCCAACGTATTTTTAGAATATGTAGGTATACGTGCCTTTTTTCCAAGGACCAATCTTACGTGCAAAATGATAAATTTTGTCATTGAAAGTTTCATTCGAGCTGAAAAGCGTAAAATCTATCGCGTTAAATTAATTTTACGAAGTTGAAGTTACAGGAAAATCATTTCACAATTACAATAACGAGATTGTATATCAATGTTAATTTATATATAAGCATTATAATAATAAAAAAATGCGAATAATTAACGATATTTAATCTTCTTATTGAAATGTAAGTTTGTAACGAACTCACAATAGAACTTGGGGAAATTAACAAAAAATTTTGGGACACTATAACAACACCATGAGAAAAATGAAAAACTTTATTATTATGAAATATTTATGAGTAATTATATCTTACGAAATGACAAAGCTTCGTGTTATATCAAGTTTATTTTCTTATAAAATGTTTATTTAAAAAAAAAGTAAAAAAATTATTAAGATGGCGGTATAATAAGAAACGAATTAAATTTCTTATCATTTTTGGGAACACTTTGTTTCGAGAAATGATGCAGTAAATTATACACGGTTGTGTATACAAATTATACAATACGAAACGAAGTTTGCTATCCTGCCAAATTTGTTATATACACAATTTCTCTTTATAATTTCAATTGAATTACTCATGCACGAGGTATTATTCTCGAATATCTAACATCGTATCATTCCTAGCGTTAACAATTTTTAAAAACGCTAGTATTAACTGACATTTTGTATTAAAGTAGTATACTATTTTATTCCGTCGTTGTGCATAGAAAAATTGATGAAAATTTATAGGGAAGAAAAATAAAATTGTTGCTTTTAATTGTTCCTGAAAAATTTCAATTTATACCAATTGAACATTGTACATTAATTACAAATGTTGTACAAGAATGATGTCTTTTATACGAAAATTTAAAATTCTAAATATTATACGTAGAAAATTCAAGATTTTTAATTCACTACCAAAAGTAATAAAAATTATAGAAATAAAATAACAAATAAATATCGTTCCGAAGTTGACAGAAAATTATGTAAGAAAATTCCATTTCTGTTGCATAAATACTCCTATTGTACCATTATCACTTTCCTCCTTCTTTTATTATTTTGCGGCACATTTGACGCAAGATTTGAATTACAATTATTTAGCGTAAGAATTAAAAGGAATATAAAACTGTTAAAAAAATTGAATACCAACCAATGAAATAAATTATTATATCCTCTCTCAGTTCTACAGATATTTTCAGTAAAATGAATTGCGTAATTCATAATTAGGATCGATCGTTAATTAAAAAGTCCGTGACATTGAATATGAAATTGCGTAAATTTGGAACAACGTAAAATATTTCACATAATTATGTTAAATAATTAAAGCATAATTAGAGCGATATGAAATTTCGTTTGGAAAGGAGAGGATATTTTGCATCACCAATTTACGAAATTGAAATACAATTTCCCTTCCAATACAAAACAACGAAACATTTAAAAATTCACCGTACTGTACTTTCGTGTATAACGCGAAAAATAAATCTTAAGGTTTATTTTCAATATCACTAGGCGCTACTCTTCGATTCCGCGTTAAAGAATTTTTAATATCAACCACTAAATAATATAGTAAATATTGACATAATGCAAAGAGCATTTCTTTCGTAACATTCGAAAACGAGACGAAACTTTCCAGTTACAAAAAAGAAAATATAAAAGATAAGCGATTGTTTCTCTTTTTTTTTTTTTAACGATAAACGTTACTAAGTACACAGATATTTCACTACCTTGGTCACAAAATGAAGAATTATCGGTAACGTATATCCACACTGGTGATTTCTTTCGAAATATAATTCACACTTTCACACTTTGGATGCACCACGGAAAACACGGGCACAATTAAAATTTCAACGGTACAAGAAGAAGAAGAAGGAATTCTTTGCACTATTCGTTACGATTTACAAAGGTTTACTGACGTTTACCGCCGCCGAATTTGGAAGAGAGGGAAAACGTACCGAACGAACTCCGAGAATAGCTACCCCTCGTCTTCTACACCGTCCCACTCTACCGAGCAAAGAACTATATATATACATATACGTACACCGATCTGTCTGTTTCTCGCCTCTATCTACACTTCTATCATCCATCCGAACTTTACAATCTTATTTAAGCCTTTCCTTCCTATCACGCTATTCATTTCCTTCAATTTAGATCATGGAATCGTGGACATTCGAAATTCGCACGAAATTTCGTAGAATACGTCATTCAAACTCTCGATATCATAGAGTAGCAAAATTAAGTGAACAAATTTTATCTAACATTGCATCTACTAAGAAATTGTATATAAAAATTAATCAAATATTGAATATAATTTACTATTAATTCACGAAATAGGTTAAAAGTAAACAATGGTTGGTTCAAATATTGTTAATTAACGGAGAGAATATTAATTCTAATGTAACTTCCAAAATGTAAGCGCATCCCCATGAGAGTCGCGTAATAAATTGTAACCCATAAAAATCTGTGAAATTTAAACGTAAAATCGTAGAAATGAATGACAATGCAATTTCATTTTAACAATCCATGTAACAAGTAGTTAAGTTTCGAAGCCCAGGCTGTAGGAACAATGTCCAAAAAATGTGATTAAGTAGCTGGCAACTACCATTGCTTAACTTGATTCTTGTCAGAAATAGCAAGCTGATACTCTCATAGTAAACTTGGACGTACTCACTGTCTGTATGAGTATGCATCGTTTCATTTACGTATATGTCATGTATGTATATCTACATTTTTCCCGTAGAATAGAATTTGTATTTTTTGTCGTTATATGCGTACATATATAACATATATTGTACACTTCACAACACAAGATTATTCAACAAATTATATGAAAACTTTCTATTAAATTGATGTTCTTATATAGTAGTAGAATAACTAAACATGTATAGTTCGAAAGAATCAATAGAATTAGGTCAAATTGTTGTTATTACCTACTTAAGTAAAAATATATGTTATGATTGAGATAAATATAATAATCTTAAACATTCCGATATGTTTTATTCGTGTCAAAGAGTATCCAATAGTGTGGGTGAAATTCCAGAAATCCACGATATAATTTTATAATTTTTGTTTCATAATACTACTACTAAATTATAATAGTTATCTATTTATGCATTCTACATACTTACTTTTATGAAAAGTGAAAATAATTGAAAGGAAAATTTTAAACATT